CATGCATACATACTTACTTACATACATACATACATACATACATACATACATACATATGTGTATATACATACGTACATACATACATATTAAAAATATACATATACATATACATATATATATATATATTTGTATATATATATATATATATATGTGTGTGTGTGTACATGCGTGCACACATAGATGAAGGTACCAAGGCTGTGTATGTCGGGTGGAGGGTTAACTACTTTACTAACGTCAAGACTTCAGTCCACGACGAGTAACTGGTAACTAGCTTGAGCAGGGCCATGCCTTTCATTTGCCTTTCTTCCAGTGGGCTCCCGGCCTTGTCAAGAAGTTTTTGAACGGAGAAGCGCTTCTCCAGAACAGGTGCTGGTGAAAAGAGATGGGTGAAAACGAACAGAATCGAAGAGTATTGGGACTTCCAGTAGAGCACGCCAAGCTAGGCTGAATTGATGTCCGATGTTTTCCTCTGCCCGAGCCTTTGCCGCAAACTCTGAACCATGAAGCCTAAGCCCCAGTACTCAAAGCCTTCCGTCTTTTACCTACATCTCATCTCACACGGGCATCTCGCGAACGTTCTCGCGGCCAGCGCGCCTTCAAGCGGTGTTTGTCCAAGCTTCGGGGCCGGGGCAAAGCTGAGAATGACCCAAGGGAGTTTAAAGATCTTGACCGGTAGGGAAGGTGATGATGTACATGAGAACATCAGTAACGCTAAAGTCGGCGACGAGAATGAACATCATCGTTATCATCTTCGCCATCCTCATCAAGCAGATGATGACATGATGACGATGATGACGACGATGGTCAGAACGAGGAAGACGAGAAGGGGAGAATGACGAAGAGGACTATAGCGATGACGCTGATGGAACGACTGCGGGCACGACTACTACCATCACAACCACGGCGATACGACAAAAGTGACGACGATGGCAGCTGCTAAGTTCGTCGTGCTCTTGCTACACCTTATGTAGGAGCCTTAATAATTAGAACAGGGTTTTGGGGCCCATTATACCATAATTATACTAAGGAACCCCCAAAAAAGTGTTGGTAATTATTACCCTATATTACGGCTACGTGTCGGGCGGGCCTTGGATTCTCGAGCCTCCAGTAGTCTCACCACCGGTGATGATTTACGAAGAATGAGAAGGAGAATGGGGCCTTGGGCCTCAGGCCAAGTTCCAACACCCAAGGGCTTGATCCGTCCGTTGATATCAGCTTTCTGTTGCTTCTCCCCCTCTCACTCTCAGTCTCTCTCTGGCCCCCATTCGCTCCTTATCCGCAGACTACAAGTGTGAGACAAAAAGGCAGCAAAAGCACATGGGGAGTCGCCCATGCCCCTGTCAATAATAATCTTATACACACCTCTGTCTACATTGTGAAAGATGAACGGAATGATGGAGGCATGGATGGACGGATAGATGGGACTGTGATAGGCAAGTGTTGTCAGCTGCTTCTCGAGAAATGCAGCCGGACCTTAAAAACCTTCAAGCTTCGTTTGGGCCGCGAAGCCCTTTGGACCCCACCCCGCCACCCCCCGCCCCTTCCCACACCCCGTTGATAAGGACTTGTATACCTGAATCCTACGTCGAAACCCTAAACCCTAGTACGAATCCTAATCTTTCGCAACCTCATCACTGGCCATGCTCTGAGCCCCCAGCCGAGGACGGTTAGCCCCGATCAGCGGCGCCATCCACCAGGGATGGGCCTTTCCTGCAGAGCGTTTTCGTAGGAAGCCGTCTTAGCAGCTGCTGCAGGTGGCAATGGCAGCTTCAGGCTGTTGTTGCTGTTGTCGCAGTACGAGTGGCAGCCGAGGCAGCGAAGCAGCCGGATCAGCAGCACGAGTAATGCGATGGAAAGCTGGAATCGGAATAGATACATAAATACATATATATATATATGTACCTATATCTACATACATATTTATAGTCTTATTTTTGGTTTGGTTTATTGAAACTTGTTGCTTCTTGAAACTTGTTGACTTACACTCCTGTTTAACATTCATAGAACGGTTTGCTGCACGCCTCTGTATAGGGCACGGGTTGTACGGGAATACGGGTCTTGTTTCTGCCAGATCCAAAAAACACTTGGAGTCCCCCGCATAGCTGCAACGTGAACCTCAAAACCCTACTGCAAGGCCTCTGTCTCCGCTCTTCATAAGCAACCCTTTCAGTGCCATAATGCCACCAAAGGGCGTAGTCTCTCCTTGGCACATCATGCGTGTAGGGCTTGGGGGCTTCGGACCTTGGGTTGAAACTTTCCTAAACCCTCGTCGCTTCATCGGACCGGCTCTAGGACTCTGGGGTACAAGATTCCAGGAGCGTTCAGGTCAGCTGCATTGTCTTTTTCCAACCCTGGGTGTTCCAACCCAGAGCCTGAAACCTAAACGCTAAGGCCAGCTACTGCTGCTACTACTTCTACTACTACTACTACTACTACTACTTCTACTACTACTGCTACCTGTCTTTTCAAAGCTAGGCCCCTATATTACCTCACGGGCTCCGGACCTTCGGATTTCAGAAGTCGTCTAATGGCATCCCCTGTGCAGCAGCTTTGTGAGAACAGAAAAGACTGGAAACGACTGCTTAGCAGCAATGGTGCCGTGAATGCTGTGATCAACAAAGATGCTGGAACAGGGCTAGACTTGCCAACCCGGCCCAGTGCGCCGATGGCAAGAGTAATGGTGAGATTGGCAGTGACGTCAGCAGCACTGTACAACAACCGAAAATCTGATGAAGACGACCACACCACACTGATGCTGACAACGACGACGGCGACGACGATGACGGCGACGACAATAGCGACAACGACAAGGACAGTGACGTGAACGACAGCAACAACGACGACAAGGTCCGGAAGCCGTCAGTAGTAACAACAGCCCCATTCACATTCTTATACGGCTTCCGATTGCATCCGAGACTCTCTCCCGCGATTGGCGGCAGGCATTGTGCCTTTGCCCGGACTGGTGCGCTTCTTCGACACCTCCCTGGGCATTTGAGGGTCGGGGTTTACGGCTTTGAGGAACCCTCAACCTGGAAATCTGCTCTTTGTTTTGCCATTCTTGCTGCTGCCAGCACTGGTTCAACACGGTTGTGATCATCATCGGCAGCAGCCTCTTCCTCCGTACCCTACTCTCCTCTGAACCACTCTGAACGATACCATGGCTCATGGCTACAACTGCTGTGACTTTCGTTCTGGCTGCTTACGCTACAGTTACAGCAACTCAGGGCTTAGGGTTTAGGGTTTGGCGACGAATTGCTCTGCTACTACTAGGCTTGCTCTCCTCCCCACTTCGATAGACGCAACTTCAGCTGCAAATTGCTGCTGTCAACTCCTGCACATGTAGGCATATGCATGTGTATGTGTCTGTGTGTCTGTGTATATATATATATATATGTATATATGTATGGCATGTGTATATGAATGCTTGTTGATATACATTATGCTACTTGAATTTATGCACGCATGTACACACCGGGACAAAATCCATTATGCGGATATCAGCTATCACAACGTACAACATTGCTCGTCGACATCTTGCTTTGCCTCATATTTCTGTTGCTACTACACTGGCTAGTGACTCGAATAACTCAGGTATCGCCTGAAAATTCTGAACCCTACACCGTAAACCGCTATGACCTTTGTCCCAAACCTGCTTGAAACCCTGAACCCCAAACCGCTATGACCTTTATGCCACCTGGCCCTTGCACCCTGACCCTGAGGCCAACCCTACACCCAATACTGAAGCTCCAAACCCTAAAACCGACACCCTGCAGAAAAACGTGATAAGCTGAAGCCCCTTTGCAGCACGCACTTGTAATAACCCCTAACTCCAAACCATAAACCGCAATATCCTAAACCCGCTGCCTTAAACCCTAAACCCCAATATCCTAGCAGAATCCTGAACTAACCCAATGCCCCCGAGAACCAGACTTCGGGTCGTAGTCGTGGACGTCTGGGAGCTTGAAATCTTAGTGGTGAGGCGTCTGCAAAGCTTGAGGGATGCAAGGTTTAGGGTTTTGTGAATGCCTTTTGGCATGGGTTTAGGATGTAGGGTGGTTTGAAACACCTATTTTCAACAACTATCCAGTTTAGCTCGACCAATGTCTCTAGGACAGGTGATCTTTACCCCTAGAGCGTTTGGGCTTTCGGGCTTTTGGCTTTCGGCTTCAGGGCTTTAGAGGTTTAGGGCTGTTCATCTGGCTCCTGCTGCTCCTGCTAGTGTTCTACATAATGGCCAGATGTTGTGACTTGTTGACTTGTTGTTGCTACTATTGTTGCCTCGTGCTGCGGCAGGGTTGGAAAATAACATGTGCTATTGTTAGTGCTACTGTTACTCTTACTGATTCCGCTACTAGTGTTATTGTAATTAATATGGTTTACTGTTATAATTACCAATACTGCTATTATTTTTATCTTTATTATCTTTATTGGTGGTCTTATGACCCAAGAGGTTCACCAAAGTTGCCTCGCTCGTTCGCTCATATTCGAGGACAGCCGGGACACCCTTGAGATCGTCATCGTCGTCGTCGTACCCGGCGTTGATGCCGAAGAAGTCCATGACGTCATCCATCTGCGAAGCCGGCGATGCGACAAGAAACGTTGGCTAAAATGAAAAAGGTACCATGAAAGGGGAACCGTTGAGACTGTCGGTGGGATGCCGCCGGTCCGTGAACAGCACTCGCCTGGAGTCAAGAGCTTGCACTAAGATTGAGACAAGCTGTGGAAAGTTCAACGAAATCGAAGAACGATTTCGCACCGTTGCACCCACGCGTCAACCGAAGCCTTGCACTCTAAACCCCAACGCCTTACGTGGGAAAACAACAAGAAAGCTGTGCCCCGCCCGCTCGTCCACGAAGGACATGACATTGTGGACGAAACCTCACTGAAACGGACAACCCTGATCCTACATAATAAGAACTTCCTAAACTGCATGAAAGTGGATGGGTGGACCGGACGCATATTTAAAGGCTTTAGCATTGGCAGTTGCAGGGAAAGAAGCCAAAGGTATAGGGGACAAGAGATCGTCAGTCTCTGCTGGCCCATAATGGAGGGAGAGGGGTGTCGTAAGATAGCAAGGATGCTACTAGTCAGGCCTTATACTACCTCTGTTCCCTTGCAATTACTTTCATGATTACTGCTCGAATCTCCTGGTTTCTGCGAATCCCATATGACTGTTCACGCGGCTCTTCCGGCGGCAATCGAGGGGGCTTGTCGGCTCATGCTTGGGGCTTTTAGGGCTTAGTATAGGGGCATTCATAATTAGAATAGGGTTTTGGGGTATATTATACTATAGCTGTAATAAGGAAGCCCTAAAAATAGTATTGGTAATTAGGCCACCTTTTCTACTACGCTTTGGGGCTGGGGCCTAGCTTCCCAAGCTCACAGGGCCGACAGAACGTGCGGGCAGAATCCTACAGCTTAATGCATGAATTCGGAACCTCAAGCCTAAAGCACTCAACCAAAACTACCAAACCTGAATACAGGGTTTGGGGTTTAGGAGCCTCATCGCACAGACTACGAGACGTGCTGAACATCTCCAAACGTCACGATGGCCCAGAGCGGAGGCAAGAAGCCCACTTTGTCCCGCAGCCAGTTCACCTCGTTGCAGGTGTGGTTATAAGGATTTTTTCAGAGTTTAAGATTGCATGCTTCAAGGATTCTCTGCACTTGGACGTAGAAGAAGCAGAACAAGAAGCAAATGCAAACGAACAAGCATAACCTGATATTAAGAAGAAACCCGTGGACAACAATCTGACAGTTATAATCGCTGCCAGTACGCTCGAGTGTGCGCAGTCCTCCGCGTCACCCGCATCACCACTGTCGTCCATTTGGTCATCTTCACCGCCACCAGGGTGAGCATCACCATCATGACCATATTACAGTCATCATGAGCAGCAGCATCAACATGATCATCAGCAGCATCATCATCACCATCATCATTGCCATCGTGATCATCACAATAATGATGATTATAATAATTATTATCACCATCACCATCATCTGCAAGCTCGCCATCATAAGCAGCACAGCCGTCACCATCATCATCATAATCATCATCGTAATCGTCATCGTCGTCTAAGAGGTGATGATACGGTTAGTTTCTTCCCACTGCCTGCTGATGCATCATGGCTGAGGTTTCACATTGCGATCATTGTGCCCTTCATCCTTCATCAGGACTTTCGTTCATGGGCAATGCATGTGGGCCCTCAATAATTAGAAAAGGGCTTTGGAGCATATCAGAGTATAGTTGGGGAACCATAGGGGGACACCATTAGAAACTTATTTGTCGAAAATCTTGGGCTCCAGTCTGGCATGACGATCACAGCGCAGTGCCCCTGCCAAGCTGGCCCCAAACTCCAACTACCGCTAATACAGGGGCCTTAATAAGTAGAATAGGGTTTTGGGGGCCATTATACTATAATTATAATAAGGAATCCCCCAAAATGATAGGTAATTATTTAAGCCCCTACATTACGTCAAGCGGCGAAAGCCCCAACCATGATCAGGAGGATCACGAAGGCAATTGTTGCAAAAAACCTGACACGGGCGGTGGGATAGCACGAAACCCCCAACCGGCGCTTTCCGCATCTGCTGAGTCAGTCACCCAAGATCTAACAGGTATGCTGGCCTGTCTCCTGCTCTCATCGAAACGCAGGAATCGTAAAACCCCTAAACCTTCAACCCTAACCACCAGCTAGGGGCTGAGTCTTTGGGTAATCTCATTGGTTTCTTGGGGCTGGGGTTTTGCAGTTTGGGGTTTAGGGGTTTGGGGTGCAGGGCGAGGGATCTTCAACAGGAAGCCTTATTGAGGATTCTACCGGGGTCTATGAGGGGTTTAGGGCTCGGAAAAACAGCATATGCTAGACGACACATCAAGACATGAAGTCTCATCCCATAAGGGCCCAACCTCACCTAGACGACGGCAGAATACAAGCATGAGAGGAATGCTTGCGGAGCAAGCTCGAAAAAGCGATGACCCATGGATCATGTCCATCTGGGGCTCCAGCAGGTAGATAGTCGCTTCTTCGAGATGGGGTTGGATGAGGTGCTGATCCCACAGCTCCTTGAAGCCTCGCAAGCGTCCGAGCTAAGACATGTCTCAGAAAAGAGGCCCTAAACCCTAGACCCTCAACCCTAAACCCTAGACCCTAGACCCTAGACCCTAAACCCTAAACCCTAGACCCTAAACCCTAAACCCTAAACCCTAAACCCTAAACCCTAAACCGTAGACCCTCAACCCTAAACCGCTCACAGGATGCTCTGCCCTGGGGCCCCGGCCGTATCCCATGAGGAACAACACGGTGCCCCTGCCGAAAGCAAGCAGACTACTTGGAGGTTCATGGGTAGTTACAAGTGAAGTTATGGGGTTCCTTTAAGGGTTCCTTTAAAGGGTTCTATAGGGTTTAGGGTTTAAGGTTTATGGAGACTACATGGAGGTTCGGGGTTTAGGGGTTTAGGGTTTGGGGTTTAGGGTTTAGGGTGTACGGTTTAGGGGTTTTGGGGTCTGGGGTCTAGGGTTTGGAGATATACTTGGAGGTTCATGGGTAGTTATAAGTGAAGCTATAAGTCCCCTAGTATGGGTTATAATTATAGTTACCCTACTTATAACTACCATGAACTTCCATGTACAACATGGGTGGATGCCAGGATTGATACGGCTTTGGTACCAGAGTCTAGCGTGTAATACAGGGCCTTAACAATTATAACAGGGTTTGGGGGGCTCCTTCTTGCTATTATAGTATAATATACCCCAAACCCTATGCTAATTATTAAGGCCCTAGATTAGAGTTTAAGTTGTTTAAGATTTACGGCTTACAGAAGGTTCAGGCTCGAGGGTTTGTCTAGGAGTTGGGGGGAGTGTGTGGTGGGTTTGGCGCGTGCCTGTTGTACCTACCTGCGAAACAGCGCCAGGGAGGTTGACATGACCCTTTTGAAAAACTCACTCCTGGTCACTTCAGAACCTGAAAGCTCTGAGGTCATAGACCCTAATCCCCTGCATCCTCGTCCTACCCTAAACCCTCAATGCTAAACCCCAAGCCCCAAGCCCCCGATCCCACAGAAGCGAGACCTTACAGCTCCTAAAGTAGGGTTCTTAACAATAAGAATAGGATATTGGGGTATCTTATACTCTAATTATGATAAGGAACGACCAAAATAGTATAGGCAATTATTTAGGCTTCTATAGTAGTCCTATCTGCGGAAATCGAAACCTGAGGCTCCGACAGCACGCTCAGCGTGGAGCAGCTACAGCTGGCTAGCAGCCCCAGAAGTTTGTAGCAGCACCAGGCACAACCTCAAAAGGTGATGTTGCTGTAATTTAGGGTTTGGGGGTTTAGGGTTTGTACGGTCTAAGCATGCACGTTTGAATTTACAAACACAGACACACACACACACATATATATATATATATATATTGAATATACTGTATAATATTATATATATATAATATTATATACATGTATGTATACAAGGGCTTGTGTGCGCGTGCTTGATTCTGCGTCGTTTCTTAGCACACCCGAGGCCAGAGCAGGCCATGCGCCGGCAGCAGCAGCAAAGAATGCCCCAGCGATGGAAAACATCCTCGGAAGGGTTTCAGGGTGTAGGGTTTAATGGTTTTCTTGGGTTTAGGGTTTGGGGTTTAAGGCTTTACGGTTTGGGGTTTAGGGCTTACAGTAGTGGTTTATAGGGTTTAGGGTTTGGGGGTTAGGGCTTTAAGGGTTTAGGGTTTAGTGGTTTATAGGGTTTAGGGTTTTTTGTGTTTAGGGTTTTAAGGGTTTCGGGTTTAGTGGTTCATAGGGTTTAGGGTTTAGGGTTTAGGGTTTTAAGGGCTTAGGGTTTAGTGGTTTATAGGGTTTAGGGCATATAGGGTTTAAGGTTTGGGGTTTAGGGCTTTTAGGGTTTAGGGTTTAGTGGCTTATAGGGTTTAGGGTTTGGGGTTTAGGGCTTAGTGGTTTATAGGGTTTAGGGTTTGGGGTTGAGGGTTTTAAGGGTTTGGGGTTTAAGGGTTCATGATTTAGGGTTTAGGGTTTAGGGTTCAGGGTTTGGGGTTCAGGGTTTGGGGTTTAGGGTTTGGGGTTCAGGGTTTGGGGTTTAGTGTGCAGCGTTTCGAGTTCAGGATTTCTGATTTGCGTTTAAGGCTTCTTTTTTTCGTGGGCTGCTTCTCTCACTGAGTTTAGGTTCCCGGGTGGTGACTCAAACTGTAGCTGCTTAAAGTGAGGCTCCCAAATATACAGGGGTCCTATTAACACGCGCCTACATCAGGGTCCCTGATACGGGGGCTGCTGGCTTAGGGTTTGTGGCACTAGGAATTGTCGGCTTCAGGGTCTGGAAGGAGCTTGGCCCGATGCCAAGCCGCAATATCGGCTTCGTCCTTCTTCCTCCGGTGGTAGTCGCCCTCCACCCTAAGTCCAGCACATGGTATCGGGTTTAGGGTCTCGGACTTTGGCTTCAGTCAACCCGAAACCAACACCTGAAGAAGCAAGCAAGAGCCTGAAGGCCTCGACCAACAACCCCCCGACCCTAAACCCTAAACCCTAAACCCTAAATGCGCCTGCTGTCCCCATAGTATTG